TCAAGTTATGGTATCCTTTTGCCTTAGATTTAGTTGTTGTGTTTTTGTTTCTTGCTTTAAGGAAGAAACTTCTTAAAGTTTCTTACTGTAGAGTTGTGTTGGAGAAACAGAGGCTGTTCTAATTTAAATGTCTTATATGATTACTGTGTGTGCTTTTTAAGGACTCCCCCCATGATGCCTTTTAGAGCCCTGGGTCTTCAGAGTCCACGATTTGAAAATTGCTGACTTAATAATTTAATTTAGCTTTATGGAGGAAACATAATAGTTATTTTGCTCTGACAGCATGAGTTCTGAACGTTTCCACTCCCTAGAAGTTGATAAGACAACTCTTCACTAGATTTCTTAAAACTCAGCAAGGAGAACCTCTCTTAGTGGTGGTTAAATGAAATGCAGTTAGAAAATTTGACAGGAGAAGGTAAAATATTTGACATTTTCTACATACTCATATATAATGCTCTCCATACATGTGGATTCCATTTCTCCACCCAATTCCATATTAACTGTATAGAGTACTGAGTAGAGTTCTCTTTGCTATACAGTAGGTCCTTAGTAAAAATACTTAATGTTTCAAGTTGCCAAGGCTCTGAGTGGCTGGAAGGCTCTCACACTGCCTTTGGTTTGTCTCATGTTTTCCCCCTTAGAATGTAAATTGCTCAAGTACAGCTACCTTTTTGCCTTTGAGACTCCTTTTCAATCAGCATAAATAAATGATTATTGACCTTTAGGACAATGGTATCAGGCTGGAAAGGGTGGTAGCCCAACTACAGACAAAAATATTGCTGCCTAGATACAGCGGCTCAATCAAAAAGTTGCATGCACATATTCTTGCTTTGAGTAGGGCCTACTGTATGCCTCATTTCACTAGTTTTGTTTTCCTTTCTGGAGGGTTGCTTTTAATGCCTTTGTCTTTTAGTTATGCAGCTTTGTAGCTACAGTCAGTCTTCTCCACCCTTGCCCCAGGCCTACCAGAATAAGGGTAGTTGATTTATGCATCAAAGGTCTGATAGTACATAGAAGGTCATTCATCGAAAACTAAGGGGGCTGTTTAAACAGTGGTGGTCATGCAAATTAGTATGATTGCTGGCCCAGATCCTGAGGGAAATTAGGTTGAGCTGAATGGAAACCAAGCTATGAGAAAGTTTGATTTTAAATAAGGTTTGAGAGCATACGTTTCTACTCTGGTACCAGATTTTTTCATGTCACTATCGTGAATTGCTACCAGTTGCATGAAATTAATAAATGTGTATAATAGGGCTATGGAGATTGGCTGGGGGGTGAGTCTGTGGTAACAGCATTGTTGGTAGGGAGATAGATGTTTTTAATTTATCTTCACTGTTTTGTTAGACAACATGAATTATTTTGAGATATAACTTTTTTTTTTTTTTATAATTCTCCCACACCTGCCTCCCCCACCCCGTAAGGAAGCCTGACACCAAGAGAAGGAACAATAGATTCCTTTGACTCTGACCCTCTGTGCTAGTCTGACTAGAGTTTTGTTTATTTAATTGAAAGATATTTGACATATAACATTGTATAAGTTTAAGGTGTACAATATGTTGATTTGATACACATAATATGATTATAGACTGTAATATGATTGCCATTGTAGCATCAGTTGGCACCTCTATCAGGTCACACAATTATTATTTCTTTTTTTGTGGTGGGAATAATTAAGATCTAGTCTCTTAGCAAGTTTGATGATTATAATACAATATTGTTGTCTATGTTCACTATACTGTACGTTAGATCTCCAGGACTTATTTATCTATTGGTTGCAAGTTTTGACCAGAGTTATTTTTAAAGGTGCTGTGGATAGTTTCCCTTCAAACTGGTCTTTCTCTGTCTTTGGCTATTCTGCCCCACTCTTCCAACAATGGACAACTTGGGCAACGGATAGGGCGAAGCTCGAGAAGTTCTGGACTTGTGCAGTGAATAACAGGAAGTGGTGCAACATACCTTTGGCTAATCCCTCTGAAGTCCCACCGCCCCCCTCCACTAATTTCCTTGTGCTATTTCTAGTTGGCAGCCACTGCTCAGCATCTCAAAGAGATGGTAACTGGATTTAGTGGGACTTCTCTAAATCCCAGAGTCATGGTGTCATTAAACTCTCATGATTCTATTTCCATTTATATTTATCCTTTATTCTCATAAATAATATCAAGACACTCTCTATGTTGAATCAGCTATGGAGGATATTAAAAAAAAATAAACACAAAGCTCTCACTGGATGCATGACGCCCTTCCTTAGGTTGGCTTTTACATTCTGAAACATACATGGAAGAGTGCATATAATGTAAATGTACAGTAAAAAATAATAAAATGAACAGCAATGTACCCTCCACCCAGTTTGAGAAATAGAACATAACAATACCTCTGAATTTCCCTGTGTCGTGGGTCCCTTCCTAATCCTATCACCTCTTGCCTTTTAGAGGTAACCACAATCCTAAATACTGTTTTATTAATTCCCTTGCTTTTCTTTATGGTTATACCACATATGTATGTATCCTTAAATAATAAATCACTTAATTTCATGAGCTTCTGAACTTCATATAAACTGCATCACATCTATGTGTATGCTTCTGAGACCTGCCCTTTTTTGCTCAACATTATGGCTTTGAGATTAACCTGTGTTGTTGTCTAAAGCTGTGTTTTGTCTATTTTTATTGTTGTATTTAATCTATTGTTTGATCTCAATTTTTATATCTATTCTCTTATTGATGGATAAGTGGGTTGTTAAATAGTATACACTAAGATTATACGTTATACCTTACATTAAGATATTAAATAGAAAATTTCTAAACAAAATATTTTCAAATTGTTTAATCATATCTCCTTTTTGCCTGAAATGGCTATATGCAATTCAACTGAACTTTTCTCTAATTCGTAAACTGCTCAGGCATTATCATAGCAGTCACTTTGCAAAGATACTAGTGATATATCGCTAAAAGGGCACATCAGCCACAGACAGACAGAAATATATTCTGTAGTGGGCTGAATAAGTGTTCCCCCTGAAAGTCCATGCCCACCAGGAACATCATTATGTGAACTTATTTGGAACTAGGGTCTTAGCAGATGCAACTAATTAAGATGAGGTCATACTGGATTAGGGTGGGCAGTAAATCCAATGACTGGTGTCCTGACAAGAAGAGAGGACACAGAGAGACACAGATGCACGAAGAAGAAAGCCATATGACTATGGAGGCAGAGATTAGAATAATGTAGTTACAAGTCAAAGTATGCTAAGGATTGCTGGGAGTCACCAGAAACTAGGAAGAGGCAAGGAAGGAGTCTTTCCTAGAGGCTTCAGAGGGAACATGGCCCTGCCCACTGATTTCAGACTTCTAGCCTCCAGGACTGTGAGAGAATAAGTTTCTGTTGTTTTCAGCCACTCAGTTTGTGGTCATGTGTCATGGCTGCCCTGGGAGACTAAAACACCCTCTGTGAGTAAAGAGGGATGAGATGCACCTCATGGAGCTTTGTATTCTAGAAGACCCTGCCTAGTTTCCCAGCTTCAAAACTCTCAAGTAGCTGCGTCTTGGTTTGCATGTAGGGCTCCTTGGGCACCAGGATCATGACCTCCTACAACATTTCCACAGGCTGAACTGCTGTCCACAATGGTCCATCTGTAGTTGGCTGACGGAGTTGATGTCAGGTTGTAGAGCTCCTGTTGGGCTGTACTCAGTGAGTTCAGGCAGTGCTGAGGGGCAGCTGACATTATAGGGCTTGTCCTCTGGAAGGACTGTGGGCCCACCCACTCACTGTGCCTGAGCAGTCCTCTTCAGTCCTGGAAGAGGCCGTATCTGGATGGAGGTGATTAGCCTAGTGGAAGCTCTGGCTGCCCCAAGTCCAGCTGATCACCCCAAGGGTTGACAGGATTTTCACACTGGCTGGGAAGCTCAGCTCTCAGCCAGAAAGCCTCAGCAAGTACCTGTAGGGCAAAAGTTGCCTCCAGTGTTTAAACAAGCACTGTTGGCTCTGTTGGCTCTTATTTTCTTATTTCTGGCCTCTGAAGGAATCCTTTACTTCTCAACAGCTTTGCTATAGGTTTTAAACATTTTAAATGTTTTATTTAGCATATTAACTTGTGCTGTACTAGAAGGTTTTCTTTGGACATTTAGTCTATCATTTGAGCCTAGCCACCGAGGGCTAGAATTTAGCTGTCCCTTGCAAAATGGCATTAGTGGTTAACCAAGAATCATATTCTACTGAAGAAATATAGGTATTGTAATCTGTTAGCTGTCCATGTTCATTCTTTAATTCAACAGTCATCTATATAGGTAAGCCAGTGTACTAGATATCGTTAGGAATCCAAAGACAATAGAATCAACTTAAGCCTAGCAGACTATCTATAAATCAGATAAGTATCTGGTAATTTTGTTTATAGTTTACCCATGACATAATTCTGTGTATTAATTTATTTAATTACAAATTTCAAAAAAATAAAAAGAATTTCCTTCCATTGTTGTTAAAGGAGAAACATCTAGATATGGCTGTAGATTTGATTGATCATAATGTCTAAATTTGGGATTACTTATGAATTAATCTGCCAGTTACAAAGATATCTGTAACAGGGAATGCCCCTACATTATTTTTATTTTTTATTGTTTTGAAAAGTTAAAAATTCCTTAATTTTTTATTCCTGGTACCACTACCACAATTTACAGGGCAATATACCTGATATAATGAAAAGAAAAAGACAAAGCTACAACAGATAAAAGACCTCAAGAATGTACATCTAATTGACACTACATTGCCTTAATAAATAGCTGCACTTTTTGCAAACAGTGGCTATGACAGTCCTGAACAAGAAGGGTTTCCTGTTAAGCTGCAGTACCTTTTCTAACTATGGATCATCATTCCTTCTGTGGCAGATTTTTACAGTTGCTCTAATGCTTTTGGGACGACTGTCTCAAAGTAACCTGCAGCTTTCTTGACAACTCCTTGCTCTCTCTCCTGCTAAGAACTGTAGCCCTTTTCTTCTGAGTTTTTAGAACTTTCTGCTACCATCCACCACTTCCACCACCAGATCCATAACCACCACCATAGGGACTGCCCAAGCTTCTTACACCAAAACTGTCCCCCTTTATGGGTCCATAATTTGATTGCTGTTGTCCACTATAATTTCCAAAATCATTATAGTTCCCAACACCACCATAGTTACCTCCAAAACTTCCTCCTTCATTGTAACCATCATATCCTCCATCACTGCCTCCATATCCACCACCTTGGTTTCCATATCCAGGTCTACCACCACCAGCCTCCTCTTCCACCAAAGTTTCCACCACCTCCAAAGTTTCCTCCACCACCCATAAAGTTGCCAGATCCACCTCCACGACCTCTTTGTGATCCAGCAGACTGCATTTCTTGTTTAGAAAGGGGCCTTTTTCACTTTACAATTATCCCCATTAATAGTGTGGTATTTCTGAACAACAATTTTATCAACTGTATCATGATCATCAAAAGTTACAAAAGAAAATCTTCTCTTTTTTCCACTCTGCCTGTCTTCCATAACTTCTATGGTTTCAATCTTGCCATACTTTTCAAAGTAGTCTCTCAAATTATATTCTTCTGTATCTTTTTTTTTAAACATCTTTATTGGAGTATAATTGCTTTGCAATGTTGTGTTAGTTTCTGAGGTATAACAAAGTGAATCAGCTATATGTATACATATATCCCCATATCTCCTCCCTCTTGCGTCTCCCTCCCACCCTTCCTATCCCACCCCTCTAGGTGGTCACAAAGCACCGAGCTGATCTCCCTGTGCTATGCAGCTGCTTCCCTGTATCTTCTTTAATACCACCAACAAAAATTTTCTTCACTGTTAGACGGGCATCAACCTTGTGTGATTGAGCACACATTGCTGCATCCACCTCTTCAACACAAGAGTTAGTCACAAAACCAAAGCCCCTAGAACATTTTGTTTGGGGGTCTCTCATCACCACATAATCTGTAAGTGTGCCCCATTTCTCAAAATGTTCTCTTAAGCTATCATCTGTAGTTTCAAAGCTCCAACCACCAATAAACAGTTTTCTCAACTATTCTGGTTCCTTTGGATCATGGCCCTGCATTTTGAGACTGGACTCACCTCTTCCAAATTGAGTTCAATATCGCCTCTACTTTAAGTGTAGTCAAGTAACTTAATTTCATGTAGGCAGCTTCCTTTTTTGCCTGTAGGGAATGTAGGTGTTGGCTCTTGTATTCTTTTTGAATGTTATTTCAAAAGCTATTTCTGTGCACCATATGGCACACCATTATTCAGCTTCTTTAACAATAAATAGCAAAGTTGTCACTAACCTACAGAAATGAGGGCTGTTCCAACTCTGTTTTCCTGAACTTGAGGCACCAACTTGATTAGAGAAGGGAAACTAAAGACTCCACTTTTCTCCCCTACTATCCCTCATCACAGCTGACCAAAGTTCTTTCTCCTGTACAATCTACCAATGGGGGAGGGGTACTGGTTTGCATGAAATTGTACAGTGAGTGATTGAGAGGTCAGTCTCTGAAATTCAAGTCCTGGCTTTGAAACATCCTAGTTGTGTTACTGTGGTAGGCTCTAACTTCAAGCCTGGGTTTTCCTCATGTATAAAACTGGGTGCAGTAGCATGTTTTGCAGGATTAGAGTAAATATTAAATAGGATAATGTATGAAAAGTGATTACATATATTACCTGGCATTAGTTCAGTGTTAAATAGATGTTGATACGAAGCTATGACACATGTGGTCCAGTCTTACAGCAGTATAGCAGTCAAAGCCTAGAAGCTGAAAAAAATCTAATATGCTCAGTCTCCCTACTTATACTTAACCAACCCTCTGAAGAGGACACATAGCCTTTAGCAACACTTCTTAAACCCTCTTTGCTTTCACACCTACTCAGTCAGTTATTTGACTCACCTTAAACTCCTGCCCATAGACGAAGAGCCTCTCCTCCTTTCAGTCCTCCCTCTTCTCCCAATTTTGAATCACCTAATAGCAAAGGAAAGACACTTCTCTGGGGAGATCTGAAGAAAAAAATGAGTGGGCAAAATCAAAATTCTCTTAGTGGTTGTTAACCACTGTTTGTTTGATGGTGATAAAATGGCCAACATACCAGTATACAAAAACTGCTTTCTCCCATTCACGTTTTACCAGTTCTGATGTCCTTTTAAAAATTATCATTCATTCACACATTATTGTAAGGTTCTGCAGCCAGAAAACTGAATCACTGACCAATCCGATCCAAAGGACTCATAGTTTTGATGGTCAGGGGAGCAGGTAATTTTGGAGCAAGATGCTCCAAACACTGAGTGATAACAAGAAAACCAAAATACCATTTAAAGTATGATGTACATTTGTATTACACTTTACAATTTTATGAGTGTTTTCACATAAGTTATTTAATCTGATTCCCCTCAAAAATCTTGTGAGGTTGGCAGACTGAGGATAATTGTCTCCTTTTTAATAAATGCAGAGACTGGAACATAGGAGACTGACATGGGAGGTGCTGCAGTGAGTGGCTTCAGACAGTCAGAGAGTCAGATGAGAGCCCTGGTCACCCAGGAGGGAGGCCAATGAGGGGCACAGGAAGGGAGGGCCCCTCTTAGCCCTGCCATGGACCCTGAGGAGCAGAGCATCCCATTTGGTACTGATGCCTTAGCTTGTTCATTCTTGCTGTATATCCTTCCAGGCATTTTGTGGCTATCTTATGGTGTTGGCACCATAATGGAATTTTATCTGCAAAACACGTTAGCCTAAGAGAAAATTCTATTAACACTTGCCTTTCCTTTCTTCTACTCTGATATTAAAAAAAAAAAAAAGAAAAGAGTTAAAGAAAAATTATGGTTTTTTTTTAAGAAACAGGAAAGATTTTCTTAGGTTGATTTTTAATCACTAAGGATTGTTAAACATGTCTGTTGTGGCTTTTAGAGCACAAGGTACCACAGTCAAGTAAGACCGTTTATCCCCCAGTAGAGAGAAATGGTACATTTTATTCAATACATTAAATTATGTAGACATTAGCCACAACATGTTGATTCAGCTTCACAGGAAATGAAAATCAATACCATCTGTGTGGATAGCGGCTCTACATTACCACAGCACACACTGTAATGTGTTCATTGCATCTCAGCTCCGAAACCTCACTTCATTTAGAATGACATTATTGTAAGATTTTTAAAAGTCACTTTAATATGTATATAAAAATCCAAATCAAGAAGTCAACAGATTTTGAATCCAGATTTTAGAAGCAATATTCTCCAGCTGCTTTGAATTTGCCTAGCATTTGATAAATTTTGAAACTGTCATGAGATACAGGTCTTCAAAGGCTGTGAGATATGGCCCAAGTGCCTAGCATCGAGCCCAGTACACAGCAGGTGCTCAAAAAATGTTGAATTAATGAATCAGCACAAGATGCACTATCAATTTCATAACATATTCTTGGGGGACTTCCCTGATGGGGAAGAATCTGCAGTGGTTAAGAATCTGCCTGCAAATACAGGGGACACAGGTTTGATCCCTGGTCCAGGAAGATCCCATGTGCCACAGAGCAATTCAGCCTGTGCGCCACAACTACTGAAGCCCGTGCGCCTAGAGCCTGTGCTCTGCAACAAGAGAAGCCAGCACAATGAGAAGCCCGTGCACTGCAATGAAGAGTTGCCCTAGCTCGCTGCAATTAGAGAAAGCCCGTGTATAGCAACAAAGACCCAATGCAGCCAAAAAAATAAATAAATAACATATTCTTGGGAAAAAAGAAACCTTAAAGTAAATGTACCCATTGACTGCAAGATGTACAATGATTTAATTTGAAATATATATATATATATATATATATATATATATATATATATATTTATTTATTTGGTTGCCCCGGGTATTAGTTGTGGCAGGCAGGCTCCTTACTTGCGGTTCCAGGGCTCTTTAGTTGTCGCTCGCCAGCTCCTTAGTTGTGGCACGTGAACTCTTAGTTGCGGCATGTGTGTGGGATCTAGTTCCCTGACCAGGGATCGAACCCAGGCCCCCTGCATTGAGAGCATGGAGTCTTATCCATTGCATCACCAGGGATGATTTTTAAAATGTGAAAAAAACTGTGATTAAGAATCTAGGGAGGGGGCTTCCCTGGTGGTGCAGTGGTTTAGAGTCTGCCTGCCGATGCAGGGGACGTGGGTTCGTGCCCCAGTCCGGGAAGATCCCACATGCCACGGAGCGGCTGGGCCCGTGAGCCATGGCCGCTGAGCCTGCGCATCCGGAGCCTGTGCACCTCAATGGGAGAGGCCACAACAGTGAAAGGCCTGCGTACCGCAAAAATTAAAAAAAAAAATCTAGGGAGGGACTTCTCTGGTGGTCCAGTGGTAGAGAATCCGCCTTCCAATGCAGGGGACACAGGTTCGCTCCCTGGTCGAGGAACTAAGATCCCACATGCTGCGGGGCAACTAAGCCCACGTGACACAACTACTGAGCCTGCACACCTCAACTAGAGAGACTGCGTGATGCAAACTACAGAGCCCACGTGCTCTGGAGCCCATACGCCACAACTAAAGAGAGAAAACCCACATGCCACAAGTAGAGAGAAGCCAGTGTGCTGCAACGAAGGACCCAGCATGCTGCAACAAATATCCTGCGTGCCACAACTAAGACGCAATGCAGCCAAAAATAGTAAAATAAATAAATAATAAAATAAATAAATATTAAATGTATGTTTAAAAAAAAAGAATCTAGGGAAAGCAGTAGTTGCTCTAGGAGAGGCAAGTATAAATGCATTGGAAGCCTGAAGGACAAAGAGTTTAATTTCAGACAGAGGGACCAGATAATTTTTTTACTATAATTATCTGGAGGCACTGTTAGGATGGGCCCTTTTTTGAGAGCTCCAGAACTTCTGAGTAGGAGTGGCTTGGAGGAAACAATCTGGTTGGGAAGAGGATGACAGAGCAGCTAAGGGACTTGTTCTAAAAATGCATTTGTTTAGCAAGCATGCTGATTTCTTTATTTCTTTATTTATTTATTTATTTTTTTTTTTATTTCATTTTTGTATTCATATTTGTATTTTGATTTCTTTAGATTGTATGTTTATTATCTGGAGGGCCTGGATAGGACTGGAGGTGAGGAGGGGTTGATGGTGAGTATGTAGAATTTAAAATTTTTCCATTTTAGGCATATAGGAATTTATGTCTAGATCTGTATCTTTATCTGTCTACTCTCTGTCTACTTGTCTATCTCTCTTTTGCTTTCTTTTAGTGAAAGCAATAGACTCAAGTTATCTGTCTATTGAAAATCATCAATATTTATATTTATTCTATACTATTATACTTCATCATCCTCTTCCATATTCAGGGAATTTCCTGAGTGAGCATCTTTGTCTTCTCCATCTCCATACCCACAGCATTAGTTAGCACAGAGCCTGGCTTTCAGTAGGTGTGAAACAAAGTTATTTATTGAAAGGAATGCCCTTGAAAAGCATAGATGGTATGGTTAATTCTTTTCAGCATGATCACATATCAGGTCATCTTTCATTTTGTAGACAGAATGATGAAGCAAGATTAGAGGCCCAACTTAGAGTCATAAATAGAAGTCAGAAGAAAACCTGAGCTAGAATCCAGAGGATTCAAGTCCCAGTAGTGTATTTTACATCATATTATCCAAGTTCCAGCAAAAATCACATGGATGTTCCTTGCATATGAATATGTCCTTTGTGGGAATTGGGACCATTTTATTATTATGTCAAACCTTTAAAAGTCAGACATGCACTTTAAATTGATTTTGGGGGGGTAGGTTTTTACCTCTCTTGTTACTACTGTCACATGCATGTGCAAGACGGCTGATGGGAGAGGATGTGTACTTGCCTCCAAGTAATTACATGCTATGGAGCCTCATCATTTCTGGTTCTTTAATCCAAATTTCTTAACCAACTCCTTTCAAATTGGATCTTTAGTACAGCCATTCTAATTCTATAGCTTCAAAACAAAGTCATTTTAAAAAATATTTATTTATTTATTTTTGCTGTGTTGTGTCTTCGTTTCTGTGCGAGGGCTTTCTCTAGTTGTGGCAAGTGGGGGCCACTCTTCATTGCGGTGCGCAGGCCTCTCACTATCGCGGCCTCTCTTGTTGCGGAGCACAGGCTCCAGACGCGCAGGCTCAGTAGTTGTGGCTCACAGGCCTAGTTGCTCTGCGGCATGTGGGATCCTCCCAGACCAGGGCTAGAACCCGTGTCCCCTGCATTAGCAGGCAGATTCTCTACCACTGCGCCACCAGGGAAGCCCAACAAAGTCATTTTTAAGCTATTTGAACTTAAAATATTTGGAAAAAAAATCTGAATGTTTTCTGAAAGCACAAAGCTTCAAACTCAAGTAACTGAAATAACTGAAGATATTTAGTTCAAATTGCAAATATATTCACCTTTGGATTGAGACAAGGTAAGAGAAATATCAGACCCAAAGGTCAAAAGGAACATTTTGGAGTAAGTTATAAACAGAAAATAGGGATTTAGAATGGAAAAGATGAACTCAACAATAAGATGGGATCATGACACCTTGGTATTTTTTATTATTTTTTAAAACTCACTGTGCTAACCCAGGACTTTATTTTCACTGACTCTGAGAATATTTTAGTGATTTTGTGTGTGTGTGTGTGTGTGTGTGTGTGTTTAAAGGACCAGGAAATGATACTCTGTACTTTGTTATGTCTTGGTTTAGAGAAATTTAAAGCATATAGAAATCTTGGGCTAGATCTCTTCTCCATTCCCTGACTCTCCCTAGAACACTTATGCCAAAAATTACCATTCTCTGTGGTATCAGATTCTCAGGGAGAAGTAACTGTTTAGAGGAATTCATTTTCCAAATGCCCAAATTTCACCAGATTCAAATAGTGCTGATGTAAATAAATAAAAATTGTAAACTTGAAAAGTGGATAAGATGATTAGATGTGCCTGTCGATAGGTAAT